AACTCGCTAACAAATTCAAAACCTGCCTGGGAACTAATTTGTTTGGAGACTAAGTGGCGAACAAATGAATAAAATTTCATCACTAACAATCTTGCCCACTCGCTGGCAAACCACCTCGACTTCATTTGCAAAATAACGAGAAAAAAAAAAAAAAAACCCTCGCCGACAAACTAACTCATTTGCAAAGGTAATTTGCCATCAAAGCAGCTCTCAGTCAACCGAACTGAACTGACGACAAACCGCGTCACAGTAATCAAGCTAACTTACAAAGGGAAAAAAGGCACGGCCCCAAGTTCCAAATCGACCCAACTCGCCAAGTGACGAAAGGAAGCGAGGAAAGACGTCGTCAAAGCAAAGGGGAGGGAAGCGAGCGAGCGGCCGAGCGGGCGTCACCTGTCGAGCGCCTCCCGGAAGTGCTTCTTCTGCACGTCGAACTGGAAGATGGTCCGCTCGCAGTCGGTGGAGGCGTTGTCGCTGCCGCCGTGCTTCTTGAGGAAGGCGTCGAAGCCGTTCTCCGCCGGGTACTTCTGGCTCCCCATGAACACCACTGTGCCGCGTCGCCGTGACAACAAGAAACGGCTTCGCTCGGTCACGGCGCCGGCAACCGGTGTTTTTTGTGTCAAAGCGGGACAAGTACGGAAGGCGTGGAAGTTTCACGAGCATCGCCGGCAAGGTGAAACCTCCGCGCATGAGCGCACAACGCTCTTATGGGCAAACGGGGGCGTGGAGCGGCCACGCCGATGCCTTCGGGGACAGTTTGCACGCCGGCGAAGAACATTTCTGTACGCGGATTGGTCACTGAGCCGCAGCGACGTGACTGGCAACAAGGTTGTCCTCCCTCGCTCTTTTTGGTGAGGTCGGCAGGACTTACTGTGCTCCAGGAAGTGGGCCAGGCCGGGCAGTTCGTCGGGGTCGCTGAAGCTGCCCACGCTGATGCACAGGGCTGCTGCAGCCTGCACACGCACACACACACGCGCGCGCGTGTTTTTGGTGCTCGTGTTGACTGAAGACATGGCTTGCTGGAATGGGAACGCAAATGGCGAGGTGTCGTCCCACCTGCTTTTCGGCGCTCTTCTTCTTCTTCTTGGCTGCGGTGTCCTCGTCCAACTCGGCAAAGTCGCTGTCCTGCTCTTCCTCTTCGCCGTCCTCCTCGTCCTCCTCCGAGCCTTCGCCCGAATCCGACTCGTCTTCGCCGCCGCTGTCGTCGTCATCATCATCATCACCGTCGTCGTCCTCATCGTCGTCGTCATCCTGCTCCGGGCCGGCGTCGCCTCCTTCGGTCCTGCCGTCGGTGGCGCTCAAGTCGGAGATGAGCAGCGCTCTGAGGCCGTTGCTCAGCTGGACGTATCTGAAACAGACGGACCGGCGCAAATCAGCTCCAGGGTCACTTTGTTTCTGTTTTTCTATGCATCTTTGCGGGCAACATCTCTTCTCGTAGGGCTCAGTGCGGCCCGGCGTTTTGTGGCATGATGTGCAACTACGCTGAAGACAAGCAAATTGCCGGGATGCTGTCAAAAAAGACGAGCAGTTTCGAAAAAGCGAGGCTCTGAGGGATGAACAGCGAGATGGCAGACGACTGTAAGTATGTCACGGAAAAAAGAAAGGTGCTTGTTTGTGGCTGCGGGGAGGGGCGGGGCACGTGGACCCTTGATCAGAATGCTTGGATTGAAAACCTGATCTCACCTGTACTTCTTGGGGTCACTGGGTGACTTGATGATCTCGGGGTCTCCTTGCTCCTCGGCGGCGTCCCGCGAGGTGCCGCCGTCCCGCGCGGGCGACAGAGGCGGTGGAGGTTCGCCCTGGTCCGGAGAGGAGGCCTGACCCGAAGCGTTGCCGGCGGCGACGGACTTGCTGCTCTGAGGCATGGCGACGACGCTGGTGGGACAACAGGCGGTTGGAGCGACATCGTCATTGACGCCGTTCACAGCTGCACACCATCTTTGCCACTTTTGCTGGCCAACAGTCAAGATCAGCAAGTCTTTCGTGCTGCCCTTCAAGCTTTCAGAAAGCACGGAAGTTCAATTCGAACATTCGCTTCTTGGAATTGGATTCAATCGTCGCCCCATAACAGTCGACTGGCTGCACTGCTTCCAGTTGCTAGATTTTGGACCGTTTTGTCCAATCAGATTTCAGCCGGTCCACGTTATCAGCGCCCGGTGGCCTCGGCGCTCAGGAGCGCTGCTGCTGTTGGCCTTTAGACCGCCCGTCACAACTTGACAAAAACTCAGTTATCACCGCACATCTTCTGAAGCGGATCACCCTCGATATTGGTCCAATAAGACGACAAAGACAACAAGTACTGTACTTTCTCACCGCACGAGTCAATCACGGAAGCCGGTGTGACCGGTGATGCTAATGACTGAAATGGTGAAAATGGGCGCTGCGTTGGTCAGACGAGCATGAGGCTGTAGTTCACGTCGCTAACTGGATCGAACATTCACGTTCTGGAAGGAGAGGAATATGAGCAAACAAAAAGACCAGGGGTAGGGAACCCGGGTTCCTCGAGTTACCTCCTGCCTGTTTTCGGTCCCTCCCCACTCCAACACACCCGATTCAATTGTTCAGGCCTCGACAGAGCTTGCTGATGAGCTGATGGCGACAGAGGCGGTGGAGGTTCGCCCTGGTCCGGAGAGGAGGCCTGACCCGAAGCGTTGCCGGCGGCGACGGACTTGCTGCTCTGAGGCATGGCGACGACGCTGGTGGGACAACAGGCGGTTGGAGCGACATCGTCATTGACGCCGTTCACAGCTGCACACCATCTTTGCCACTTTTGCTGGCCAACAGTCAAGATCAGCAAGTCTTTCGTGCTGCCCTTCAAGCTTTCAGAAAGCACGGAAGTTCAATTCGAACATTCGCTTCTTGGAATTGGATTCAATCGTCGCCCCATAACAGTCGACTGGCTGCACTGCTTCCAGTTGCTAGATTTTGGACCGTTTTGTCCAATCAGATTTCAGCCGGTCCACGTTATCAGCGCCCGGTGGCCTCGGCGCTCAGGAGCGCTGCTGCTGTTGGCCTTTAGACCGCCCGTCACAACTTGACAAAAACTCAGTTATCACCGCACATCTTCTGAAGCGGATCACCCTCGATATTGGTCCAATAAGACGACAAAGACAACAAGTACTGTACTTTCTCACCGCACGAGTCAATCACGGAAGCCGGTGTGACCGGTGATGCTAATGACTGAAATGGTGAAAATGGGCGCTGCGTTGGTCAGACGAGCATGAGGCTGTAGTTCACGTCGCTAACTGGATCGAACATTCACGTTCTGGAAGGAGAGGAATATGAGCAAACAAAAAGACCAGGGGTAGGGAACCCGGGTTCCTCGAGTTACCTCCTGCCTGTTTTCGGTCCCTCCCCACTCCAACACACCCGATTCAATTGTTCAGGCCTCGACAGAGCTTGCTGATGAGCTGATCGTTTGAATCAGGTGTGTTGGAGTTGGGAGGGACCGAAAACAGGCAGGAGGTGACTCTCGAGGAACCCAAGTTCCCTTCGCCTGAAATAGACGGTTGGAAATGCGATCGAATGGGACAAATCTGAAAATGTTGGGGGGCGTTTGTGATCGTGTCGGCGAAGGCCTGACCGCCCACGGCCGGGTGATGTTGCGGGACTGAAGGCGGCGTCTCAAGTTCGCCGCGCCGCCTTGACGGCGACGGAGGCAAGAGGGGCAAACATTCGCACGGCCTAGCGCGCGACTTGAAAGCGGGAGGAGCCGTAGCGCAATGTAGCGGCGCGTGTTAGCATCCAGCCACTAATCCGGCTAGCGGAACTCGTCTTGCGGGTTCGGTGGCTCGCCAACCCGTGGCAGGCCGGCAGGCCACGGACGCAGACCCCGACGCGACAGGCCGGCAGCTTAATGGGACACAAAGCGACGGTTGAACCACTTACTGACGATCGCGAGAGCTTTTCGCCGAGTGAGCCCAAGTGGCGACTTCGACGCAGCGACGAGTCTCATTGGTGGGACGAAACAAAGCCTGTGATTGGGCGGCGGACAAACATGTCTGGCAAAAGGCGGCACGTGATTGGACACGGCCGTGACGCCATCCGGTTTTTCTTCTTCGCCTGTTTGTCTTCTTCTTCTACGCTTTGAGACGTTCTTCAACATCCTGTCTGAGCGATTTTGGCGACTTGTTGCGCTAGCGTTTTTCCCGAGTGATGCTGAGATGAAGCTCCTGGAAGCATCGAGGATTTCCGTGCAATTGCTTTGACTCGTGTGTCGAGGCTTCAAATGTTCTTCAATCCCAAAAATGGAACATTACGGCATGCAAGGGAGAGGTTTTCTCAGGCAAAGTTTTGATTACCCAGGATGGAAAGGATGTAGGAAAATGCAGTCACAGTCTGTATTGTCGTGGATAACAAATGCACTCAGTTCTCTTCATTTCGATTCAAAAATTGGGTTTTTTTTTCGTCTGGGGGGGGGGGGAGTGTAAGTCAAAACATTTGTGTAAAGGTTTTGTTTCTCGGCCCACCATTGCTGGGGGTCATCGTCACGGCGGTGAATATTGGGTTCTCCACCGGAGAAGGGGGGAGGTGGAAGAGGAGCAGCAGAGGAGGACGGCACCGTAGCCCTACGAATGGCGTTTCGTTGCCGCTGAAATCAGGAAGTGAACTTTGCGGGAACGCAGTTCAGCCACTTGCGATTCCATTGGAGCATTTTTCCTCGGGGCATGCTTTCACTACTTGCTCCCAGTTTTCACTCTCTTGTCTTTCAGTCATCTGCTGATGACAAGTTCACTCCGAATGGATGAGTGTCCCCAACAAACAGACCAGCCAGCTCTTGTGAGTTGGAGCTAAGGCTTTGAGGTGCTGACAGGACGACCAAAATGGACCTTTGCAAGATGCTCAGACAGTCAAACACATCAAGCGTTGTGCAATGACACCAGAGGTGTGGGAGGATGAAAGGTCACAGCCCGAAAACCTTTGTCCTCGACCACTAGGTTTTGTTTTTGTTTTTTTGCGAGAAGCAGCAGACTCCAAAAACTGAGCACAGATGAAAAGGACCAGAGACTTCAATGCTTTTTTTTTTTTTTTATTGGGTCATGAGGAGCCAAGCGCAATGACATCAAGTTCAACCTTTCACCCACTGCGGCTGCTGGACAATCAGTGGGAAGGGACAAATGTGGTGGATGACGGGCTGGCGGATGCCCAGCTGTGCCTTGCAAGCAAAACCTTCCCGACTTTCATGGAATAACGGCCTGCACTTGGGTTTCGGCATGCCCGGCGAGCGAGACGCTGAATTCTGTGGAACCAAAAAAAAAATTTTAAATAACGCCCAGCACTGCGCATACAAGGGCGACATGCGCTTTTGTTGCAGACTTACCCGTGGCGGATAAAATTCACATCCAAGTTCTCCAATTTGGTCTTGCCAGTTGTAATAAGTGGCTTGGCAAAAGACGTGACTCTTCAATACAACATAAGTCAGTCACTATTTCAGTATGACCCAGCTCAAGGGGGTTTAAAAAAAAAAAAAACAGTGAGGAAGGGAAAACAAAAAAAGTCCAATTCTATCCCCAAAGCACACATTTGTCTTTGGCATTTGACGGCACCACGCATGAACACGCCGGCCAACTCACCGCTTGATCAGAGCAGCGAGGTGCGCAGGGCGCAAAAGTATTCTCGGCGTGTCTCGGACAGTCCGTCTCCACCAGGGCCAACTTGAGCCAGGTCAGCATGCCGATGGTCATGATGTACTGCCACACAAAAGCGGAAAAAGCTGGCGTTTATTTAAAAAAAGTAAAAAGCTGTGCAAGCAAAGAAGGGAAAGCAGTCGTCACCCCGCCCGTTATCTGAGAAACTTCCATCAAGGTGAAGTAATTGCGGTGTTTGCTCTCGCGGTTGAACTTGAGCACCGCTTGGTGCGCCGCCTTCACGCCCATCGGGTCATCCAACGGCGACAACATGGGGCAGTCGGGACAAATCCACGCCATCTCCGCGTTGGTGTGTTCTGAAAACAGCTGGCAGGTGACATGGGCAGCCCCCAACGCAACTTGGACAAGGGTTAGCAAACTTGACCTTTTGGGGAGCGGGGAAGGCTTCCAAATGCGGATAGCGTTTGGAACCGTGGCCTCCTCCCCAAAGCATTTTAGATGCTACACCGGTTGTGAATTTTGCTCTTGTGCCACAATCAATTGGGGTCAAAATGACTGCACCTCGCCCCACCAAAAAAAAAAATAATAAGCCTGGGGCAGCTCAAGTCATGTTCAGCTTAATTTAATGCATTTTAGGGAAGTAAAACACCAGGTGCAGGGGGGGACTTGGGAAGAAAAAAATGTTCAGAGGTAAATCACAATACACATGGCGGGGGCAGGAAGGTTCAATGCAGTAATGGAGGAAAAAGTCAAACAAGAACCATGGAGTCAGTGAACAGGCTGAGACAAAACTTGCCCTTTTGTCGTGAAGTGGGCAATGTTCATGTGCGCGCCTACCTGGCCGAGTGGCGCAACGATGCTTGCGGACCGTGGCCACGCCGGACACGACATCAAGGCTGACGCTGCAGGTGGCCACCGCACCCTAAAAACAACAAGCCGTCATCCGAAAAATAAATCCATTAAAAAAAAAAAAACTGGGGCTGAATATTTACACGTTCATCCAGCCGAAAGGGGACACACTCCTGGTGAGGTTTGGGGTTGGTGACGTGACATTTGGTCTGCACCAGCTTGAGCGACGCATCCACGCGGCAACCGCCGAACGGGGCGGCCGAGGCGGCGCACCACAGCGCAACAGCAAACAGGTGAGCGGCCATCGAGAACGCGGGCAACAACGGGCGAGCGGGCGCGGGCGCGCACACTTTTCAGCGGGCTCGCCCGCCGCGACGCCCAATCGCGTCGGAGGACGAACGGCTGCCGTCTGGGACCTCATTAGTGGCAGCCGCGCTTGCCATCAGGCGCCACCTGCGCAGCGCGCCCGGACAAAAATCAGCAGACGCACACAATCGACAGAGGGGGGGGGGACAAAAATCGGTCATGCTGCTCTGATTTATTTGCTTCAAAGCAGGCCGAATGCGGCCTTTTCTTTGGCTCGTTGTTCCGGGTGGCGACG